GCACCTAGTTTACTATAGTAGACGTGTAGTGTAGTATTCATTCATATAGTTACCCGTATCCCTTGTTATGGGTTTGTGCACTGAAGGGTTTGACAGTTCTTTCTGTATTCATTTAAATGCACTTTGTAATGTGTCTGGGTCAAATGTGACAAAAACGTATGATTTTTTTGTTATTACTTGAAAAGTGAAAAAATAGTATTGCTACAGTACTCTACCTCTTTGTGTTGCATTGGAGCTCTTTAGCTGTTTCTTTGTATGTGAGGACATTTATTAAGACTGCTATTATTGTATTCAGTAAATGCACTTTGTGATGTGCCTGGTTCAAAAAAAATAACCTGAATATTTGACTTCTAAAGTAAACAAATGTAATGCTACGACTGTGCACTTTTTTTCAGATTCTGTTAAATTAATGCTAATTTGTTATGTTTTTATGCACCTTTTGACCTACCTTTGTTAGATGAACAATGAATAAAAATTGCATGTTTTTCATCGTTTTTCATGTGTTTGTTTAAAATGTGTCACTACCCGCTTTTTACAGGCCGCTGAATGTCTGGCCCAGCTGAATTTTGTAGTTATAAAATCTGGCCCAACTGAATGTGTAGTTGAATAGCCCTGCCTTACAGGATGTGCTGACCCTTATTCCTCCACCAGAAAACGTCACATCATGTCACATCATGCCACATGGCAAGGGAGGTATGGGATACTCTGGCCAGCAGGGGGGGACCCATCAAATTCTTGATTATTTCATGTTTAGTTTAAAAGATTGGTCAGTTCCTGACTCTTCTTTTTTTTTTGACAAGTGGACAAAAAATGTTTTTATTCCAATGCTCTGATTAGAGGAATAATATAATAATATCTTAAGAAGCAACAATGTTATCAGCCAATGTTAATTATCTGTTTACACTAGACAATGTAACATTAATCAGTAAAACTGCATCAATTAAACGTCTAAAGAATTTAAATGACACATTTTAGCCTTGAACATTAATCAATGAATTAAATTAATCAGTGTTACATAGTAAATCTGTTCCCAGGCAACATGATGAGTGAGAACAATCTAATCTGTTTAAAACTTGAAAAACAGCCCGTTTATACATTTGCCACTGAATATTTTATATGAAGTTTGTTGTTGTGTTGACATGTTTGATGTTTATCATTTATACTCATCCTGTTAATCTTTTATTAAAAAATATCTACAAAATATGATCAAACAACATTTCTGTGATCCTGAGTATTTATTTGTCACATTTATGTCATGATCTATAAATCAAAAGTAATGTAGCCATTCAACCCTGTTACTCTAATTTCAATCCTGTTACTATATGATTTTCTATTAAAATAACCTTAAATTATTTTTCTCAGCTCCCAAGGGTTACAACTATTGTCCTTTTAATAGTTTGAGTAATTGTATATATAATGTATTTGAGCAAATATTTTTAATTAAATACAGAAATGTGTAAAAAGAAACGTGTGACTATTGAAAAGTTGGGCAAGACAGATTTAAAAAGCTACTTAAATTAATAAATTAACAAGTTTTATCCTAAATAACATGAGTATTTAACTTGAATGTCACTTTCTTTACATAATAGAAAAGGATTTTATTTAACAATATTTTTTTCAGTTTAATGAGTATTGGTAACAGGGTTGAACAATGCATGGCACACAACCAATAAAACATCTAATAAAAACTATACCTTTGATGCCTGAGCTGGGCCAATCACTTTTTCTGATGGTTTAATACCTGTTTTTCTCAATTACATAACAAAAATACATAAAATAAAAGGTTCATTTTTCAAAAGTGTCGATGTCTAAATTGTCCTCCAATTCTGGAGTGATCCTGCTATAGCCTAACTAAATATCCACTATTATAACACATTCTCTGTAGTTTCCACGCACAAAACGCTACAACCCAAAGTGTGAGAAAACACTTTGATTTGCACCCTCATTTGCACTTTTTGTGGTGGAGTTGATCTAATTTAGATACTTCTAACAGCACTTGATGACGCCCGGGGTCGAGCACACGTATTGGCTGAGTCTCAACGAGACGTTAATAAAAGCGCGTGGATGGTGGGGAGCGTCATGTGGTGTGATAGGACCCTCCAGCGTGCGGCTCTATCGAGGCGGATTCTCAGCCGGAGCCGAGCACCAGAACTGATGCCAAATAATCATGGAGATTAATAAAAAAGACGGAACCGACAACCCGCTATCCTCTGCCAGCTGTTTATCAAAACTCTTCCTGTGGTAAGCTATTGTTATCTTTCGTCATTATCCAAACGTGTTTTCATTGCAGCTGTTGACATGTTGTTTCCTGTTCAATAGCACTTGTTATTTGTACCTGAATACTTTGTACCTGAAGACTTGTATTGGAGAACCACGACTTAAATAATGCAAAAAACAGATCACAAATCTTCGTCCCATTGTTCTTTTCCCACCGAGACACCATCGAGGAAGCTGACATTTGATCATATTGTCCCAAGTTTTATTTTCGCTTGCAACTCATTCAAAGTCATTTTTCCTACAAACTTCTAGGAATGTCCAGTCATTAAGTTATTCCACTAGTTACACATTGTTATTCTGGCACAAAGTTAAACGATAAGCTAAATAATGATTTCCTATTGAATTTGACATTTGTCTTCACATAAATAAAATGAATCTATTTAGACTAAATAACACTGTTGCTTTAAGCAGATTACATTGGTGCTTCGGCAGCACATTGAGATGACCCTCGATTTAAGATGTATTTAATATCTTATATTGATGTAATGCTTGATGCTTTTCCCTCGTGCACCGCATCAGCATGACTCTCACAGTGTTTTGGTTCAGATTCCTGAATAGATTAACTTCCTGTCCTGGTCAATAGTAGCCGGACATTGGCTGAGCGGGCAGACACAGATAGGAGCGCTTGTTTAGTGACTTGATGCTGCACTCTTAGTTTGCAGCCAAGCAGTTTCCGTACACTTGACGGCTCTGGCACAAAATGTTCCCGACCCTCGCCTACCCACCGCAGGGGGAATACATGGCTGCAAAGAGTTAATTCGTTGTCTTTAAAATGCGGGATTCCGTGTAGCACAGTTGCTGTTTAACTGACGTAATTCAGGTTTCCTGAACGCCCCTGCATACAATATTCTGGCGTTGAGTAAAAAACAAGGAATCTATTACTGTATACAGCAGACTGGGGTCATAGGGAAATCAGTTAGGATTTTACAGCCATTACAATCCAATTGCAGAGCAGCTTTGTTGAATATGTTGAAACAAAGTCAAAATACTTGAAACAAAGTCAAAATACTTATTACAACATTGCCCTAAGGTGTTAGTAGACAAAGAAGGCTGAAAGAAGTAAATACCTTAAAAAATTAAAATTAGAACATAACATTAAAAAAACAGTATTTCCTCCTTCATAACATTTCACTTGTGTGAGTCATATTCTGTTTAAGTGACATCAGCCTAAGTGTTTATAACCATCTATCCCAGCTGGTTAGTCCCGTTGCTGCGGCTCGGCCAGAAAAAGAGGTTGGAGGAAAATGACATGTACAGGGTTCTTCCAGAGGATCAGTCCAAAGTGCTGGGAGAGGAACTACACAGGTACTAAATCACCGTGATGCACTGTTGGACACCTCCCAAAAGTCTAAGTCTGTATGCATGCATGTGGAGCCAACAATAACCACTAATTCACTATGTTACTGTACAGAATGAACATGCTGCATTTTCAATGTTGCAGATGTTGGGACCATGAAGTCAGAAAGGCTACGAAGGAGCTCCGGAAGCCAAATCTCACCAGAGTTCTCATTAAGTGCTACGGGATGTCATACGCAATGGCTGGGTCGTTTACATTTTCACTGGTATGTTCTGGCTATTTAAATCCTACTTTACATTTTTCCAAATGTAATTCATTGTGGGGGGAGGATAAGAAGTAGATTGGTATACCCAAAGGTGTTCATCCTACTCAAACTAAACTGAAAGCTTTTCGAGAACAACTGACGGCTAATCTCTTTTGGCATATTTGACAAGCATGTCAGCCAAATATCTTGGGGCCCGGGCAATTTAGTGTGTTATGTAATTTGACTACAACGGAAAGTTGTAGGAAGCTGCAGTTGAAGAGTTTCGCCGATGGCATCCAATGTCGTAATGCATCTGTGTCCCTCTTTGACATGAAGGAAGCAATCAAAGTTATCCAGCCTCTTCTTCTGGGCGAAGTGATCCTGTTCTTTGAGAATTATGACGAGCAGACGAGTCTGCGCATGGTTTATGTTTACGCAGCTGCTATGTCCATCTCCCCGTTCGCGCTGACCATTCTCCAACATCTCTACTATTACCATGTCCAAAGAATAGGCATGAGGATCAGAGTGGCCATGTGTCACATGATCTACAAGAAGGTCAGTGATGGGGCAAGCAACATTTCCACTCCTATAATATGCTGGGAATTGTTTGAGTATTATTTACCAGACAGGTGACTTGTCTCTCATCAGGCTCTGGGCCTCAGCAGTGAATCCATGGGGCAAACAACCACGGGACGAATCGTCAACCTCTTATCAAATGACGTCAATCGTTTTGATGAGGTAAGGCTAGATCAGTGGTAACACTGGCACCATGTTGAATAAAATAAACTTCTAGTGTGTATTTTAAGTGTCTACTATGCCATGTTTGAACACTGCAAATGAAATACAGGCTTGTTGGAATTGGGCTCACGATTACTAATTGTCTCGATAGATTACACTGAATCTGCACTACCTGTGGCTGGGACCACTGCAGGCCATTGTGATCATCATGTTACTATGGTGCCGGGATCGGTACCCTCGTGTCTGGTCGAGGTGTGGCAGTCCTTGCCCTCATGATGCCTGTGCAGACAGTGTTTGGAAAGCTCTTTGGCATCTTCAGGTACGCAACAAAGAAACTTAAGAAGTGCAAGGTGGCACTATTTGCTCTTTATTTGTTCTATCTGGACAGTTTTCGTTCAAAGTAACGCAGATTTCTCATAAGTTTGGGAAAAGTGGTGTATTTATTAATATTCCTGTATTTTTAAAACTTTTTTTACAGGAGCAAAACGGCAGTCCTTACTGACAACAGAATCCGCATCATGAACGAAGTGGTGTCTGGCATCAGGATCATCAAGATGTACGCCTGGGAGAAACCCTTCTCAGCTCTGGTTACAGACGTCAGAAGGTAAGGATGCAACGGTTTTGTTTAGATTAGAACAGAACAGACTTAACAATCTTTGTAACAGTTTCCGCAGCGATAAAAAGGGCTATTCATTTGAACTGGGACCACAGGAACATGTGTTTTCATCATATGTCCACTAACTTTGGAAAGAATATCAGTCCTATGCAGTTTACTTCAGAACTTAATTCAGTCTGGTGCTCATCCCTCTCTAGACTTGAGTTTGGGCGTTGGCCAAAGTGGAAGCGGAATGTCAAATATTTGCGTTATGTTTGGGCAGCTGTTCAGCCAGCTGTTCAGCACAGCTTTTACCTTCAAATCAAGGGGAAGCATTTCGTCACAGCGTCATTGGTTAATCCTGATTCTCAGCTTTCAGTAGGTGTTGTATTGTTAGCTCATCTCCTCTGTCTGTTTGTTTACGGCGTGTCGTACCGGATTCTGTCCTCCCGTATGTATCCTTGTCGTCAGCCCGAAAGATCAGCTTAGGGTCACCGTGACCTACGGTTTGTTGTTTTTGGCTCGCAGCTTGGTCTTACAAAACCTGGTAAGACTTCTCAGTGTCAGTAGGTTCCTCTCCGCCACAGCTGCAGCCTCAATGCACTGTGTCAAAACAGAGCAGTCATTCCAAGGAAGAAACACAGCTCTGCTTTATACTAATCATAATAAGTTAGGTTGACTTCAATGTTGCAGAAACATTTTTTTAATTTGCATTTATTCCCGCAAACATTTTTAAACGATAACAACAAAGGGTTCTATCCATAGACTGTGTATATAAAGGTTCTATCGCATGAAGAGGTAAAGAGAAAAATGGCTCCCAGATTATGCTCAGGCCATGTGGTATTTGTCTTAATTAGTCAACTGTCAATGCACCCACCAAATTGTGATAACCTTAGGCTCTAGATGATGTTATCAGATGGCTCTCCTCAATGCTCAGAGACCCAGACTAAATTATTAGCTTTATTTTGTTAAAATAGAGCTGTGTTTAAGCCTTTACGAACCAGTGGATCAGAGGAAAAGTGCTATAAGTGACCGGCTTCATGACTGGTCCTAAAACAACCTAATTAGTCCTCTATCATATAATATCATGTGTATCTTGTCACTCTTAGTTGTACAGGGGTTGAACGTTGGATAATCAATGACACACTGAGTCAGACACACTTATTTACACATGAACTCCTTTCTTACAGGATGTATTCATTTACAATTAAATGTCTTCGTTTTTTTTTTTTTAAACTTGAGAACATTTGACTGCTGTTTTACTTTGCTGTATCTAGATAAGCACAAGTTAAATCTTCCTTGTTATACACGTGTGTTAACTTTGTGGACTTTGTTAATAT